TTCTCCACAATATGCTGTTAATTTCAGAGAGTTAAAAGAGACCTAGCTAAGAAATAAAATTACTGAACAAAAAGTTGTTTTACCTTAATAGGACACCTGTTGAAAACAGCACTTGGAAGATTTTCTCCCAGTGCACTGAGGACATGGTCAAATGATCACTCACGATCTTGTAACCGTGTTTTATTAAATTAATATTCCCTCAGGGGAGATATGGCTACCCACTGTGTACATCCTACTCTTATCTTACAAAATATTCAACAACCGTGTTTAACTTTTCAAAGAGATGGTGCAGTGGAGTACACACCACGAGTTACAGTATCTCAGCTGAATGGACAATAACTTAATGTGCAATAACTCCACCATAAGCAGTCATGAGCTTAATTTTACAGAGATTTTTCCTTTTTTATTTTTTCCGTTCAAGATATTCAAGCAGTTTCTCAAGGTCACATTGCAGTTTTACCCTGTCACATAATTAAAGCACTTAGCATCATTTGCTTGAAAACACTGAAATAATAACTAACGAAATCAAACCAACATACAGTGATGCACTGAGATATCAAAACATCTGATCACTGCATTATTTTGCTTGTCCTCAGGAGCCACTGAAGTCAAGAGGAACTGAAGCATAGACTGGATTTTAAACACCAACAACAACCATAGTATTTGGGTTTACTTTTAATCACCTGAACAAGAATCAATTGCTTCTTCTTTACCTTGTTATACATTACACACATTAGACTAGCATGACTAGGTTATCCCTCAGTTTCTTCTAGGACAAATTAACAACAGCACTACTTAAAGGGGGGTGACAAAGATCAGGGAACAAATCTTATGCACTTCTGTTGAGCACATAGAACATAAATAATGTTGTTATTACAAATACTTCCCTTCTTTTCCTGCCTCCCAAGAAAAACTCTCACCTTTTCTTATTTAAAACTTTCTCCCCTTAAAGTGCAACAAATTCAGAGAAAATCTGAACACCCTCTTCAGAGAACAGTTTCAAATTTGTTGTAAGTTTAAAAAAGCAAGGCCAGTTCACACACAGACTATAATTGCACACTAAAATTACACACACAGACTATAATGGCAACCCATTAAGTATTTTTTTCTCAAGTTGCAATAAGGTTGGGTCAGTCTGTGGGAAGCAGAAGAAATAAGCCACAACAAAGCAATTGCTACACGTGCATACTCATGAGGGAGAACTCTCCTATCAATTTCAAAAATAACAAATGTATTAAAACCAACATATACATTCTGATCTTAAATATGAATGAGAGAAAAAATAATCCCTTCAATATTTAGGAGCCTTTAGTACTTTCTCTTAACACTTATAATACTGCAATAAACTGCCGTTACCCATTATGTGCCCATCTTTACTCTTCACAATAATTGAAAGACCATATATTTTAAACATGTTTCTACCTGAACACTTCATTCCAGTATTCCTTCACGTAGGAAACTTGGTGAAAAGGAATATCAAGCTTCTGACAAACCCGGTAAGCATCTTCACAATCTCTGTCAATGGAGCAAGCCCCTTGCTCATCCAGAGGGTCCCAGTTCTTCATAAAGACACCCGTCACCTGGTAACCTAAGAAACGAAGGCCAGAGCGACTTAAAAAGCGAAATTCCCACGGCCTCGACCTAGGAGGGGCTCGGGGTGGAAGGGACCTTGAAAGATCATCTAGTCCAACCCCTGCCATGGACAGGGACGTCTGCAACTAGACCAGGTTGCTCAATGCCTCCTCCAACCTGACCTTGAACGGTTCCAGGGATGGGGCATCAACAGTTTCTCTGGGTGACCTGTGCCAGTGTCTTGTCTCTCCACTCTCATTGTAAAACATTTAGTCTAAATCTACCCTCTTCTGGTTTAAAGCCATTAGCCTTCGTCCCATCACAACAGGCCTTGCTAAAAAGCCTGTCTCTCTCTCTCCTGTAAGGCCCCCTTTAAGAACTAGAAGGCCTCGCTGCCCGCCGCCCCCCGAGGCGCCGGCCCTCCCACAGGCCCTGCCCCAGGGGAGGCCGAGAGCAGCCGCGCAGCCCCCCGCGGCGGCGCAATGCCCGGCCCCGCCGCCCTCACCCACCTCGGCGGCGCAGCAGCAGGGCGGCCACGGCGCTGTCCACCCCGCCGGAGGGAAGGGACCTTGAAAGATCATCTAGTCCAACCCCTGCCATGGACAGGGACGTCTGCAACTAGACCAGGTTGCTCAATGCCTCCTCCAACCTGACCTTGAACGGTTCCAGGGATGGGGCATCAACAGTTTCTCTGGGTGACCTGTGCCAGTGTCTTGTCTCTCCACTCTCATTGTAAAACATTTAGTCTAAATCTACCCTCTTCTGGTTTAAAGCCATTAGCCTTTGTCCCATCACAACAGGCCTTGCTAAAAAGCCTGTCTCCCTCTCTCCTGTAAGGCCCCCTTTAAGAACTAAAAGGCCACAATAAGATTTCACCCAAGCCTCCTCTTCTCCAGGCTGAGCAACCCCAACCTTCCCAGCCTGTCCTCATAGCAGAGGTGCTCCAGCCCTCTGACCACTTTTGTGGCCCTCCTCTGGACCCACTGCAGCAGGTCCACATCTCCAGAGTTGGACACATTACTCCAGGTGGAGTGTCACCACAGCAGAGGCAGAATCACCTCTGTGGACCTGCTGGAAATCCTTCATTCAATGCAGCCCAGGATGCAGTTGGCTTTCTGGGCTGCAGGTGCACATTGCCAGCTCACATCCAGCTTTTCATGCACCACTACCCCCAAGTGCTTCTCCAGAGGGCTGCTCTCAATCCCTTCACCCCCCAGCCTGTATTGGTACCAGGGGTTGCCCCAACCCAGCTGCAGGACCCTTGTACTTGGCCTTGTTGAACCTCATGAGGTTTCACACAGGCCCACTTCTCCAGCCTGTCAAGGTCCCTCTGGATGGCATCCCATCCCTCAGGCATGTCAACTGCACCACTCAGCTTGTTGTCATCCACAAACTTGCTGAGGGTACACTCCATCCCAGTGTCCACATCATTAATGAAGATACTGAAAATAAAAAGTAGCATTTACCTCCTGCTCATTTAGTTTTAATAAGTGCTTTGGTTGAAGACGCTTTCTTGCTTTTCATGCATGGAAGGAAAGCAGGAATGAGCAAATAAATGATATAAAAATTGCACATTTTTATGGTAGGGTAGTATGATTGTTTACTCTGTCTTGGAAGACTCTTCCAAATCTGGCCAAAGGCCTTTATTCAGAATGGTCGGACACTGCAGCAACCAAAGGCAGCTGTGCTGAGAAGCAGGCACGTGTCTTCAGAGAAAAATCAAGGCAGCAGCCTTTTTAGCATCAAAGTGTCCGACAAACTCATCTGAACGCTTCCACCTACTTCAACGCTTAGAGCCTCCAACTTCCACCACTTTTTGAATTAATACAAAAAGTTGAAAATCCATCTCTTGATAAACTTTCATAAATACATTAAGCTAGTACATATGGCAGAAGTTTTTAATCTCCAAGACAGGCTTATTGTTTCAAGGGCTACATTTTAAGCTTCAAGTTGCTGTGTTTTATGGGCTACTACTATGTGCATTTTCATTTCCATTCACCTCCCTGTATTTAAAATCTCCATGTATTATCCAAGTGTGGCAAATTCAGTTAAGGAACTTTCTTGTTCTCAAAAAACAGAAAAATGCTTTAAGCCTAACCTTCAAATGTAAAGGCCAAACCATCTGGCAGTAACAAGCTGTTTTTTTCTCCTTTGAATCACACAAATTCAGATGCTGCTGTTAGTGTAGTCCACTATCATTCAATAGTAAAATATTTATTTCCAAACTTGCTACACTTTTGCATCAAAAACCACCCTGTAGTCCACTAGCTTTATCTACATTGTAACATTTGTTAGTGAAACACTACAATAGTCTAACCAAAGCCTGTAATAAAAGGATGCCATTTCATACAGCAGTTTGGTAAACGACCTTTATTTAAAGTTAATTCTTCTTTGCACATAGGGAATGAGGAATCAAAGGGCAATTTGTAGGAAATAAAAACAGACAAGGCTTTCAATAAAAAGACTACCGCTTTTTGCTTTAGAGCAATACAGTTTAAATACATCCATTGTAGTACATTCATGAGCAGAACCATTAAACATAATCAAATTTGTTTGACCATATCAAGACTGTTAGAATTCTATTGTGTAATGCAGTTCAGATAATCTAGAGCCATCTTAAAAACCAAACCTGTAGGAGTGAAGAGTAACACCTAAACACTTTAGAGAACACAGATGCCAGGAATCCTTCATTTCAACTTAAGTTCAGAACTTGAGTAGAGGTGAATCCAGATTTTCTTTGATTACGTCAGGACTCAGAATGATAAGAGGCTGACTCAAATCACTTAGCTGAAAGAAAAACAATAATAGTCAGCTGTTGTACATAACTGATAGCAGCAATAATCTCCAACATTTAGTCTTCTCAAGCATTTATTTTGTTTGTTTAGGATTGCTATTAGTATTCAGCAGACAGATGCAAGCACCACACTCAAGCTTTTAGTTTCAGGTTTTTAGACATCTAGCTCATTCTTCGACAATCACAAGCTTCTCAAAGTGGTTATTGCCCATATTCACCTTAAAAGCCCAAAAGGCTTTCTAAGTTTCACTACTGTGCATATTCAAGTGACACCATCATCGAGGGAGGGCAGAGCACTTCTGAATTTCTCTGAACACGCCCACAGAAATCAGACTCCTGTAATCCTCTTTTGAGATACTTTGAAGGACCTGATATTAAATTGATCCCAACTACATCTAGTGTCATCAAAGGCTACCTCCTCAGTTACACCGTTCATCTGCCAACATCTAAAGGCATCTAGCTTCAAGCCACTAATGTACAAAAAGCACTTGTCCAGAAATGCTTGTCAAATTGCAAGTAGATGCCAGTGCATATCTTTCAACAAAGGAGGTGATTAGGAGAGGAGCTAACAGGAGATACAGCCTTGCTTTTTTGCTGAAAATGAGCTGCTGCTGCCAAGAACTAAAAATTTGCAATAAAAAGAAAACAAGAGTCAGTATGCCTGGTCTACTGAAGACAGCATTCACTTCCTGCTTCGGAACAGTTTCATTCTTTAACAACTGATTTAAGCATTAAGTTCTTTCTCCATCCTCCTCTTTTTCTTATTCGCAGGTTGCTCACTGCGCTCTAGTTTAGAGCACATTGTTTGATTTTGAAAATTATGGTCTCTTTACTTAAGAGCACCTAAGCATGTGGTATCATATTGAACATAGAGAACTAATATTAAATAATTATTACAGTATTGTGGAGCTGCTCTGCAGACAAGTATGTGCAGCCAGTTGACATTTTTCTGCTAGCATGTTTGCATCAGAAGACTAGAGTAGAACTTACCTTTACGTGCCCTGAGACTGTAGGCTTTAGAGGAGTAATCTTATTCACTTCAGGAGTATTGGAAAGGTCAATCAGAGGTCTACTGTCACATTCCAAAGTGCATGGGAGAGGTTTGTCTATTCCAATATCTACTAGTATGGCCTTTAAAAAAAAAAACAACAACAAAACATGCATAGTTCAGGTTTTCTCCTCTGCTCTCCATGCTTCCTTCATAAACATTTAGGCAGTCAATTTAGCTCGTACAGCTGTAATAATCACAGGACAGGCTTAATTTACAGGTTGGTTACTTTGCGTGCAGGATTGTTTGCACACAGTGTAAAAAACTCAGCTCTTGGTCTGCCAATGGCTAGCATCACAAATAGGCAAAATGCACTGAGACAAAGCAAAAAAAGAGATATCCTTGGGGCATAAAACAATTTCTCTTGAAATCAGAGTTCTATCCATGTGCTAAGCAATTCTGTTACAGATACTTTGTCATCAAGTAAGCTACCAAGGAAAATACTGATGCAATAGCATCAAGTAATTAACCTACAGATTATTCTGTGTCTGAATATTTGTAAATCAATAGCCACTTTGACCAGTTAATATTTCAGAACTACCAGTTCAGTCCTTTCTCCTTAATGCCTGCAGAGTGCCAGCTTCCAACATGAAGCCAGTAGATTCTTGGGAAAGGGAAAAGAGCATTCCTTGAACCAAGTACATGACACTTCACTAAGTTTACTGCAACATGGGGTTTAATCCTCATTCATTCTATGCAAATTTGCACTGCTGTGAGGCGACTGAATTTAGCTACAGCACTGCCTTTTTTTATTTTTCACTTTTTTCAAAAGGACTTTATGGCTGCAATAGGAAATGCCCTGTGACACTAATCAAATCTACAAGGATTTCACTGCATTTATCCAGAAGCGTAAATTTAATACGAAATCTGCAAGTGTTTGACCACTTAGCTTAGTTGGAACACTGATCAGATAGTGCTAAAAAATAGGCACTAGAGGGTGCACTCGCTTAAGAGTTAATCCATGTTAAATGTGTACTGAAGTGGTTCTACTTATCCCTCATCTTGAGATGATTTACTTTCAAGCAGTTTACTTTGTAGTTCTGTAGAAAAACATACTGTCATTTCTTACCTCAGTTTTTTTCTCTTCAGCCAGCTGATTTTGAACTTCAGCCTGTTTGAGTTTGCTTTCTACTACTTCTGTAGCATTTTTTTCTGGTGAGAAGTTAAGTGCAAGAGGTAGCACAGGTGGAGGAGATATATCATCTTCTGAAGATGTCTCTGTCTTACTCTCTTTTGTCTGTTTGGAACTAGAGAAAAGAAAATTGGCAATAATTGAGTTCTTTAATCAGCATGAACTATTAAAGACAGCAAACTAGTGCCCTAACCTAATTTTCTTTTTTTACCCCAAGTTTAATGGCCAAAAGGCTTCCAATGTTTTCATCCAGAAGTGTGCTAGTTACCTATAAAATACAGGATCTCTTATGCTGCAATAAATTTATAGCCTAACCACGCTTTAAAACCCAAACTAATTACTTCAGACTGATGAAAAATTTAATCTTAAATCGACATATGCATACAGCCTCAACTTAACACATGGGATTTATTTCTTCAAAATTTAAGAAAATAACTAGCAAACAAGTACTGATATTGCATATCATTGAGCAACTCAGTTCAGTCCCTGCTGAGAGGAAGTACTGACACAAGCTGGAGGATCAGGGTTTAGTATGATAGTATGATTAAGTCTCTGTAGAGAGAGTAATTGTTTCCTTGAGAGAAAAGACTATTTTGGACATTTAGCCTACATAACATGACATAAAAGAAGAGTTTTCTAGCCATGAATCATTCCTGCTTTGATAGGGTCCATTCTCCACCAACCATGAAGCAACCCTGCATACGTATATATAGCACTTGTGAGAAGATACTGAGCTGATAATACAAAGGCAGCAACATTATTTTCACAGAAAACAAACATAATTAACAACAGTGTATGATTCACCCATTCTGCAAGCAACTATTTCAGATGAAATACAGGTAAACCTGCTCAGAGACTAAAGTTCAACCAACTAAATCCTTGGCTTTTTGACTGATGCTAAAACAAAGTGTAGTTTTACAGAATCATTTGCAACAGTATAAAAAGAGTAATATGTATTTAACCAGCTACTTCTCTTCATCAGCGGGCAATAGCAAAATAACACCAGTGCCAAATCTGTTTTCAGTTAGATCACCAGATCTTAAGTCATCTGCTGGCTCAAGAAATACAAACAACTTCCTATTAGAGATTATAATTCTCTAATGTTAAATATTGACTCATCTCAGTAAGACTTACAGTATTTTACAAGTCACAATATGTAAAACTTTATTAGGCCTAGATAGCATCTATGCTCAAATGCTGTATTCTAACAATTAGCAGAGGTCCTTGAAACCTAGAACTAGATTTAGAGGTAGTTCCACTACAGTATTTATTTCATATATGGAGATTTCTGTCTTACCCTGCTGTAAGAGTCTTTTTGGTAGAAAAGCTGAAAGTTCGGTGAAGAGATGCAGAATGTGAAGAACATGCCGATCTTGGTGCAGTTTTAGGAGTCACTGCTGGAAATCCTGAGATACAACGGACAGGTGTAGGTAGGCCAGACCGTTTCTGAGTGGCAGGAGTCATGAAAACAGACCTTTCAGGAAAACAAGAATTCTGAAAGATCCCATCTTCTGAGGCTTTCACAGGAGTGCCGACAGCCATAGCGCTAAAAAGAGGAACAGGCATTAGCCAAAAGCTTCTAGAAACAGTTTTATTCAAACTATTCTACCAAACAATAGGAATCAATTTCCTTTTGGTCAGTAAAGGATCAGTAATCATCATAAAGTTGATAATCACAGCATAATAAGGGATTTACTTCATAAGTATGCTTTTATGATTTACTCTAGTCTATTTAGCACTTCAAAGAAAACTATCTTCTTCTGAAGAAAGTGGGGAACATAATTTAGTTTTGGATTTTAGTTTGTTTGATTCTTAAGTCAGTTCCAATAGGCATTAACACAGCTAACCTGGTCTCAAGGGACCATACAATGAAGTTAAAACTTCTAAAGACTGTTGCAATACAAACATGTTGCATTTTAACTAGTATGCCTCAGTACATTCCATTTTTGTTAAGCCCTACCTTCCAAGCGTGCCACAATATGCCAATCCAAGAGATGGTATTGCTTTTGGCGCTGATTTGTTTGATGGTGTATCTAAAGAAAAAAGTTTTGTTAATTGCTATACACATTTGTTTTTGTTTCTTTTTTATAACAGATAACTTTCAGTTAAAATACTAATTCCTTCCAAGAGGTTGGATAGAAGTGTAATGAAACAAATAACAAGCATTCAAGGTTAACATTTGCTTTTAGTAGCCAAGCTAGAAGACAGGTCATGTTAAGTCCACGCTTACCTCCAGTCTTCACTGGAACCTGAGTTTGACCATTTGGAACAGACAAAACTCTATCCCTGGGCTTTGGACACAGGCTTTCTTTTGTGACACTTCCACCTTTGTTCTGCTGACATAGTTTCTGCAGATCGGGAACAGAGCTCACCCTCTGAATTCCACTGCCTACAGCCTCAGATGATGTTGCAGAAGCTGAAGGTTTATCCAGGCTGACAACACTAGGTGTTTCGGGACTACCAGTTGATCTTGCTTGCTTCTTGGCTTTCTCAGTATTGGCAGCCTGCAGAGATGACACTTTGGTAGGTCTGGCAAGGGCCACCGTGTTTGTCCTAGATGAAAGCTTGGAGCCATTCACACCAGCTTTGGAAGACGTTCTTGTTTTTCCTGAAATAGAAAGTTAAGTCATACTTCTGAATCATCACTTATTGCTCAGTTTTTGATGAACAGAATAATCACACAGGAAATAAAAACAGCAATTTACAGCATTTAAGTTTATGTTCAAACAACTCAAGTTCAGGGAGAACACATACAACTACTGAAAACTTACTCCCTGAACTCTCCAGCAGTTTTGTCTGTTTTAGAAAGTCTCCTCACCAAACTCCTGAATTACTTCAAGGAACACCCAAACAGCTTACACATTAAAGTTACATTTTCAACATTTTCTCCCAGCATAGTCAGCTCTGTTCCCTTAAGCAGGCATTCAAACCAATAGTTCAAGATATAATCATTAACACCATGGACTGAACCACCCCACAAGTGCTTTTCTCAGTTTCCTATATGGTTTGTTCTTTTAGTATGTAGGTTACTTTCATTAATAGGATGAATCTTGACTAGAAATTTCTATCATATAAAATAATTCTCGTTAAGCTTTAACTTTTACTGATATATTATTATCCATCCAGAAGCAAAGTACAAAATAGAAATTTGCAGTAGCTTGGCATCTTGATAGATCTAAAAGAACTGTGGTGCTTACTTCTATCACTATTTTTTAGGAGACTATTTTCCTGATACTTTGAGGCTTACTGAAGTGGTCAAATTGATGTCCTCACTATACTATAAGCCTCTTGGTTGTATTCAGTTTTATCTGCTTGAGTAAAGCTCATCCTTTCATTAGGCTTACAGAAACTCAGAGCTAGGCCTTCCACCTTCCTTCTATATTCTGTATTTTGGTGTTGGTTAGTTTGTTGTTTTTTGGTTTTGTGTTGTTTGTTTTTTTAAATTCTTTTGACAAGCTGACAGCATTCAGAAGTTCACATACTTAGCTATAATACAGAAGATCACGTACAAAAAGAACAGGTTTCCTGAGGCATTGCTTACTTTCTAGCAGTATCAGACCCTCGCATGTAAGCGTCAGGCTTACATGAATTTTTACAAATGACAGAAGTTAAAGATTTATCTTTAGTCCACAGGAATTTGTTGGGATAACCTACAAAGTTGCATTCTGCATTCAAAATATTTCTTACTGCTTGTATGTAGTGGACACCATTAAAACATATCCAAACCCACAGTCCAAGACATGCTTAGCTACTTCAAAATTGATTTGTAGCACAAATCTGTAGTAACAGTGATTACCATTTTTTCCTATAGGAGAAATGGGTAAACTTGAATTCAGACTTGAGTTCACGGTGGAAACTGATGAGAAGGAAGATGAAATAGTCTTTTTTTTGAGACCACTGGAAACACCAGGAAGTTTCAGATGTGTTATCTTCTTTAAGCCAGGCTGAATCAGAGAATATAGTTTATTCAAAAACAAAAAAAATACATTATTTTGCTGTGCTTTTTCTCTGTTTTATAGCTTTTCATTTGTCAGTTTTACAGAAGTTCCTTCCTTAGCTTACAATTTAAAAAGTGAATTTTCTGAGAAACAGTTCATTATATCTGGGTAATTATACAAAACTGGAACATCAGATCAAGGAGGTGGACTGTTAATTTTATTCCTGCCACAAACTTGAGTATGGACTTAAAGGGATTCAAGGATAAAAGGAGTAACCCCAGGCACCAGTATATGCTGGGCACTAAGCAGCTGGAAAGCAGCTTTGCAGGGAAGGCCCTTGGGACTGCTGGTGGACAAGTTCAACCTTGAGCCAGCAATATGGTCTTGCAGCAAAGGATGACAATGGCACCCTGGACTGCATTAGGAGGAGTGTTCCAGCAGGTTGAGGATGGTGATCGTCCCCCTCTGCTCACCAGAGAGGCAACACCTCAAGATCTTTATCCAGTTCCAGACTCTGCTGTATGAAAGTGATTGGGAGCTACTGGAAAGAGTACAGCAGAAGGCCACTAAGATGATCAAGGGACTAGAGCATCGCCCATCTCAGGAAAGGTTTAGAGAGCTGGGACTGGTCAGCCTTGAGAAAAGAAGGCTCAAGTTGGATCTCATTAATATATACAAATATCTGAAAGAACTGCGTTCAGTGGTGCTCAGTGACAGGGCCAGAGACAATGGGCACAGACTGAAAATACAAGAGGTTCTACCTCTGAACATCAGGAAACACCCCGTTTTGTTTTTTAGTGTGAGAGTCACCAAACACTGGCACAGGTTGCCTGGAGGGGTTGTTGAGTCTCCATCCTTGGAGATATTCAAAAGCCATCTGGACATGGTACTGGGCAACCTTCATACAAGTTATGGCAACCTTTTCATATTGTATAGTTAACTACACACATCAAAAAATTCGCTTTTTACAGAAAATTGCTGACCACTTACCTGCAGCTATTGCTTTAAAAACAAAGGAAATGCTTGTTAATCAAACACATTTATATGTTCATTGTGTTATAGACTTAAAACACACATTCAAGAACAGCAATTACAAGAGAGACTACTTTTCCTTAATACCATTATACACAATATAGCTTTAAATTGCAAAGTAAACTATATTCAGTTTTTTCTTTTTATCAGAACATCACATGCTTGACATTACCTTGATTGGTGGAGGAAGGACCTTTTTGTCTTGTGCTGAGGAACTGCCACTGACCGAGGACACAAAGACATCCGAGGTAGCACTAGATTTACCAGAAATTAGATCTTCAGATGTCCCCATGCTGCTCAAGTCTCTTTTTGTAGAAATACTAGTTTGTTTTCCTGGTTTGGGCTGCAAGTTTCAATGCAACATTTTTAAAGTGTTTCTAAAAATCACTGTAAATTTATTTTTTTTGGTTTTTTGGGTTTTTTTACACAAATTGATTTTTTTTTTAAGAAACCAAGACAACAGTCAATGAAGAAGCCTTTGAACCCAGTCAAGCCCTTAGTCTTCAAACTAACATAGTTTAAAGTCACTCTAGTGAGAGCATTTGCTAAGTACTAGAACAGATTGGAATCTAGACATTGGACATCAATCTAAGGACAGTTCTGCAACAATTAACCAGTACAATTTCCATATAATCATGTTCACTTGCATACAGTAACAGCTTATGAGTAACCTTATGAGATCTCTAATTCATATTCTTTTGCTTTATTCTAACTTTCCAAAAGATAAGACATTACAATAGCCAACTGCATCATCCAAACTCTATTTAGACAATGGGATACAACTTGGCTAGTTAAATCACTGAGACTATGCCTTTTCTTATAGCACCCAAAATCAAGAGACTTAGACTTACACCACAAAGAAATCAAAGAGTGCCCTGTTTTCTATAGATAATGTTTTTTTGCAGTACATACTGAAGCCTAAATCGTAAGGTGCGGAGCAATAAAATCCAGAAGATATTCTGTCAAAAGACTGGGATTTATGTACATACATTAACACAACTGTTTCCTTGCTGTCCTAGAATACATTTCAGTTGGTCACATAGCCACATCCTAAATGTAATACCATTCATCAGTGCTTTTCATGATTGAGACAAGTTGTGGACAGAACAAGAGCTAAGAGATTTTCCTGGCCTATCAAAATAATTGTGGGTCATCCCCCTGCCTCCATCAACAATGTTTAACAGTAAACAAAGCCATTTTTGCACATTAACTGACTAAGAACAGTGTAGTAATTTTACCAGCAACAAGACAGTGTTAAAACAGCAGTCAGCAATGATGGTATTCACAAAAACTAATATACTGGAAAAGAAATCTTCCTGCAGATGTTCTACAAAACAAACTAGTTGGCTACTATAACCAATATAACTATAGCCATAGTGTCTGCCCTGACTTTCTTTTATGTATGTTTCCTGACTAAGGATCTTATGAGGTAGAGAAACATCAGAAGATTAAAATTCACTTTTAAGAATAAAAGCTTGTAGACAGTTTAAACATTCCTAAAACACACAAAAGCCATGTTTAAAAAAAAACTACAAACAATTGTTTCCCAGAAGCTGCCTTTACCTTTTCAAAAGTCAACAAATTGCTTTTTCCAGGAGATGAAGGTTTTGCCATTAGAAGTTTGCCAGTTGCCTTTGTATTTCTTTCCTTAGTTTTCTGTTCTTGTGTCAGAGGTAAACAGGCCATTTTTGTAGGAGATACATGAATTTTAACTGGGTTTCTGTCTGGTGAAGTATGAAGAACACACATCTTGTCATCTGACAAAAGTTTAGCTGATTCCATCTGAAAACAAGGTGGCAGCTGACATGCTGGCTGATCCTTCACACAGTATGTCTCCCTTTTAACAGACCTGGGACTTTTCTCTATATTTTCATTTTTCAGTATTTTCAATTTTGACTTGGAGTCCTCCACAAATTTTTCTATAAAGTTATTTTCCTGTTCTTCTGATTGGCTTACTTTAGTCTGTTCATTCTTGCTTCCGGTCTGTATTTGCAGTGCTAACAAATGAGCTTCTTTGCAAATTTCCAGAAGTTGTTGATTTGTAAGTAGGCTCCACGTGAGGTCACCATCAGAAGAAGGCACATGCTTTTTTTCAGCGTTTTGTTTTGCTTCAACATTGACAGCAATACATTTTTCTTTGTGTCCCATAGGTCCAGCAAAAACTTCATCTTCATTTCCACTACTAAGAAAAACAAGTCAGCCCAGCACCTTACGTATGTCCATTTTAAAGGTATATTTACCTGTAGACCCTTCACTTACCTTTCTGGAGAGAGTGAAAGGTCAAAATCAAACTCTTCATCAATCAGAAGCGAAACATCTGCAACTATAGCAACAAGGATTTTGTCACAGTGGGGATTTGCAATAAAAATAACTGCATTGAGCTTTAACAGTTTGGTGAAGCTGATGTCAGTTAGCAGAGAAATTTTTAGCTACCAAGTTTAAATAATTAAAATAAAAGATATGTTTTAGGCCAAAGAAATTGAAGGTACAGCTGTGAATATGATAATAATTGTGATAGATGCCAAAATATCATGAAAGATCTCAATGCTAATTCCTAATCATCCATAGCAGGAACTTGGGAACTGACTGTGGGAAAGGGTATGAGCAGCCTCCAATGAAGAACAGTGAGAATATATAATCCAGAGCTACATGACAGTGTAATTGTCCTCTCAGTCCATTCTTCTCTACTTCAGACCACCACTGGACACTAACAGGAGCCAGTGAGTCCTGTTAGCTAACACATACACTAAATATTAATTGAATCTGCAGCAGACAGGTAAGGGAAAGGGAGGAGCTCAGGTCAAACATATGGAAGAGAGGTTGATAACATCGCATCACTACTACACATGCTCTAGCACCAGCACTCCACAAGCTCTTAAGGAGGCTTGTAAGTCTGAGACTGGCAACAGCAGCCCATGCAAGGCAACAAGTACACAGATCAAACTATGAAGCAGGAACACAAGGTCTATTGTTCTGAACTGTCTGAACTTTTAATAAGGGATACACCAGGTAGAAACCATCCCAACATATTTTCCACCTACCATTGCTCATGCAAATATCCCGTGTTTCTTCAGTCACCTGACCTGAGCAATGCACTGCCATTTCTTTTCCTTCCTCCATAGCGTCTGGAAAACACAGGATTAGCTATGCAGTAGGTTAAAAAAGCCAACAGAATTTTATGATACTGCCAAGTTAGCAAAGAGGTTAGCATTCCCTTTGAAGACTCTTATGTGTTATGTTTAGGAACAGCATAACATGGTTTATGGGATGTCATACATCCCACCATCATCTCTTGAATCAAATGATCTGAGACTATGCATGTATAAAGCATTGCAACCTCTGTAAGAAGAGCCTTCAAATACAGCAGTGATGTCTAGAACTTCTGAAATTCCTTAATGAAAATTCTTGTGTTCGGCAACTGAACTCCTTATACGAGTACAGCTGCGCCGGGCAGCACCATCAGACAGCTGCGGCCGGACACTGCCAACCCACACACTAAAAAAAAAAAAAAAACAAAGCTTTTTTACAGCACTAATTCGAGAGTGGCATAACCGAGACTTAGCCCATCTCTCCTCCGCAGAGGAAACGTGTGCTGTGCTCCAGACGGGGCCTTTCAAGTGCGGACAGAAACCCATCAAATAGGGCTTTCTGGCGATCCAAGCTCGACTCGCCCCTGCCTTCAGGGAACCCGCCCAGGTTTCGCCAAGAGGTTCGCCAGGAGCCCTTCGGGCAGCGCGCCTCATGCGGGACGGCCTGCCCCAGGGGACTAACGCCGAGCACGGGCCTGCCCGCTCCAGTTCCTCAGGGCGCAGCCCAGCAGAGCCCCCAAGCGCATCCCCAGCGAGGGGCGAGGAGCCGCCCGCCACCCCACCTCAGGCCAGCTAGACCCCCCCACCTCCCGACCGCAACGGCCCCTCCACAGCCGGGTCTCGGGGGAAGGCCGAGCCGGTACCCACCGCCGCGGGGCCGCCGAGCAAGAAGTGGCACAGAGCTGCCGCCCGGACGTTTCAAATCACTCCCCGCCTGCGTGCCGCGCCCGGCGCGCTCCAATTGGTAGGTTCGAAAAATAACGGACGTCCCTTTCCGCGCCGGTGGCATTCTGGGACTTGTAGTTGGCCCAATGGCCGCAGGTGTCGCTGAGGGGGACGGGCCAGGCCGCTCTGCCTCAGCCACTGACCGTGGCCGGTTTTTAACACGTTGGCGTGGGTGTCCCTAAACATGCATCAAAAAGTCTTCAAAGGGAACGTTTACTTCCTTGCCAATTTACTGGTTTTACTGGAATGGCCGTTAGAAATAAACAGCAGCTGGGCCTCTGCTGAAAGGCACCCTGTCGCAAGTCCACTGAAGGGAAATGGAGATTCCATCAGTTGGCGTTAAACGGTCACAATGTTGATGACCTTAAGAAAGCTCTTTTTATAAATGTTACTTACAGAAAAGAGTTTTAAGACAGCTGAGAATATGAGTAAAAAACCTCACTCTTAATTTGGAAATTGCCATTTTTTTTACTAAAATTAAAGGAACCGATTTTATTTCTATAAAAACATGAGTAATGTGTGAAGGAAAGGCAAAAGCCCTTAGAAATGCACCAGAACTACAAGTTCAGAGTTGTCTTAACAGCAGTTGTATGTGACAACAAGCTTATAGTAAGAGTTAAATGAGAAATAAAGTTACTTTAACTTTTTTTACAGTTTAAGGATGATGCAAGAAGGAGTTCACATTTTGGAGGGAGGAGGGAAGAAGGGCTTTGACCTGTTTTTCTAAACTACAAATTTAAATTTGTTGATTCACAAGCCTTACAAATAGCTACTGGTCCATTGGATTTATTATGCTAAAGCCACCATTAACCCAGCTAATGAGGCAATGCACAGCTTCTGGGAGAACTTCTACATTGGTACCATGTGGTGTTAATTAATGGCTCCAGGTGGTCAGGGAAGAACAGGATGGATTTTTGTTACTTTGTTACTAACCCTAAATGTCCAAATGTTTTCTTTTGTGCTGAATATGATCGTTACAAAAGTCAACAGATTATTAAAGAAGGCACCTACTTTTTCATAAAAATGTTTAAATATTAGAGCATGTTGAAGTGGTGATGGCTTGAAATTTCACTCCAGGCTAGTTAAACCAAAGTACAGTTGAAGACAGCAACTAAGTTTTACCCAAAAATAGCCTGTGATCTAATAGAAAGTAATTCTGAGTTACAGCTCATCCTGCATTATTCATCACCAGCACCCTCCATCTGTGCATTACTTGGGTTGCTATGAATTTGGCAACACTTTAGCAGCAAGCTACTGTTTATAAGAAGGGATCCCAGCAGCTAAAAGAAGCCAGTCGTTGGGATTACTCATTACTTGCCTTGAGAGCTGTTCCGGGGAATTTCTTGAAGGACTATGTCAAAATCAGCTTTAGAAAACCAGCAATTTGAGAACATTGAATGACACATATCAAGCACTCCCAGATTAGCGTTGGTCAAGTTGGTGGGCTTGGAAGAAAGATTCTTTCTGTTGGTACCAAGTGAAGATTTTCCTTTTCTGTGCAAGGAAACAAGAGGATTAAAAAGGCCTTTTTCCTCTCTGCAAGAAGAAATCTGACGCATTGGGAACTCAATCACCAAGACACCATGAATGCTTGCAGGAGGTAAGCCGCACATACTGCATTCCCCTTGGGTAGAAATAGGAAAGCAAACTATTAACAGAATATTCCTCTCATGATCGTAACATAATGTTGCCTGATGAACTGTGTTATTTGATTTGCAGTTACACAAGACAGAATGTAGCCCTTGTCCTAATCCAAATGTTAAATGTGTATTTCTAATTCTACAACTCCTTTCTGTAAGATCTCAGCTGCAGAACTTCTGTTTTATTGATGACTTAACCTTTGCAGATCGCACTTCCTACTCTTTCATTTTTAACAAATCAGTTTTGACAGCTCTCTTCCAAGTGTGCATAAGTATATAAATATAATTCGTGTGCAAATGCTCTTTACTTATAAGCTGTATCTGCAGTAACATTTTTGGTAACTCCTACTCTTCTGATAACAGCAGAAAGAAACCATGCATGAACCAGAACTGTAATACATTTCATACTTCTCAGACCCCTTCCTAAGCTACAGGAAAATCACAAGCTGATTGATTTCCGTTTGCATTCCAGTTGGAATTCAACATTCTCTTGAAAAAAAAACACGAAGAAAGCCCACTGGGGCTTAGCAGGCAATTTTCAATAGAGATAACAATAACTGAAGGTCAGTTATCATAGGCTGACACTTCTACTTTCAAACCATTTGGGAAAGCAATGTAAAATGTTACTCCAGGCAATCCTGCAGATCCACTTTTTGTAGTTACTCCTGATTAGTATCTTTGGCTAATGAATACCTTGACACAGACTGCGGAGGGAAGTCCCCTCTGAAAAGCAGAGATAGAAAAGACATTATCAGAGCAGGATGGGAAGCTCACATAGCACATACTGTGCTTATTCCCATGGTTTTAAGGTTTAGAAACTGGTAATTTTTTTAAAACCCTGCCACTTAACATAATATTGCAAAATGAAGGGATATGTTTTTTCTCATACAACTGATCTATGTCACCAGTGAAGAGTAAGAGCACTGTGCGTCCTCTAACAAGCCCATACCCAGTCTCTCTGCCTGTCAGTGGGAGAGAAATACCAAATGGCTGGTAAATGTTTTGCATTTCCAATTATGGAAATTACTTTATGAGCCTCATCCAGTTTGAAGAGCTCTTTCCCAAATCTAGTCAATGATACAATGCACAATCTGGGCTTCATTATAAACACCACAGAACTGTTAATAAAAAAGAATAAATTTTAATCTTAATCTTGCTTTTTGTTATGGCAGGATACATTCTCTCCGTGCTCACAGACAGAAAACCAGTGGGAGCAAAAGTGAGAACTGGCACAGCACCTCGGGGTTCAAGCCCCAGCATGGAGATGATCTTGCTACAGTCCATACCCTTTACACAGTGATTGTCATGATCCTTCTAATGGCAATTTGGGGAGCCTGGTCAAGAAAAGATTCATCCTCATAGCAGCAATATCCTTTCTTTGTCAAATATTTAAAGGAATATTTGTGTCGATTATCCATACCCTGGAGGTACAGAAAAACATGGTCTCAGCATATTACAGTTTACTTGAAACTGCTTAAAGTGTTGCTACTTGTGGAACTGAACCTGTGAAGCAATGTAATAGTCAATGTATGGAATGTGACTTTGTGGATAACATATACCTGTCTGCACTGTAAACATGTTGATACTACCCTCTGCATGTATATGAAACTTAATTTAAGCACAGTATACTAGAAGAAGGGTTCAGCTTATGTTTTTACTGGTCAGTGTTTTGTTTGTCCACCCCCAGCTTTCCATTGTGTAACTTAGGCTATCTGGTCCCTACCTCTGCTAAGATTACCTGTCCTAATCCATGGTAAAACATACAAGTAGTCAAATAATCTGCTGTGTCACAAGAACATAGGAAAAAAACCAAAATAGTAAGACCAGCTACCCTGCAGGCAAGGGAAGACCTCTGAACAAGTCAAATGCTCATCTCCGTTGCTGAAGAGAGTTTTTATGGGACTTGCATCTGCGTATTTTTAACTTATGGTAATGCCTTTGTAAACTCAGGAATAAAACCATAAAATAAAGTGTATTCATGAGCATCCTCTGTTGCAGAAACAACTGTCTTGGTCTTCAATCTTGTTCCCAATGTATTTAATTCATCTTCAACCACTGCTTGCTTTTCCATAATTCATTAATACCTCATGGCAGTGCCAACCTCTACATACACCAGCCCATCCTTAAAGGGGGCCATTCCATAATCCCACTTTTTCAGGGAAGTAACGCCCCTCAGAAAACCTGCAAGCTTTCTGGAAATGCAGCCAGTTGGCAGCCTCTCTTAAACTCTTCATTAATTTTATGGTTGCCTACTCCTGACGAGCTCAGGTTGATGAACTGGCAGCTCTGAGGGGCAGCGGCTGTTGGGAGCAATACTATAAGCCTTTGGAGCTTAAACTCAGTTTAACCCCAAAATTTCAGCATTGCCTAAACTAAAAAACACTATCAGAATAAACAAAGAACCGCAAGACATTTTGAATAACTTGGGAACAGTTAGATACACGTCTGCAATTATGCAATGCCTGTAGACAACAGAATTCTTGTTGTACCCCACTCCAGTATCCATCCATTTTCGGGAGGGGGACATAAACCAAAGTGTTTCTGAGAAGACTGGCATGGCATGGCATGGCATGGCAATCACACCTCAAGGGGTGTTTACAAAGCATGGTGTAGCACCAGAGATACCTGCAACAGCTCTCACCAGGCGGGTGTGGGTGCTGGGATGGATGTTCCTGATCCATGCAGCACTCCCACTTCATCATGCTTTAACGTGGGAGCAAAGCTTTGATGATGCTCTCTCAAGAACAGCACACATAGGAATAATAATATTTAAAAAAAAGCTGATTATTGCATTAAGTACATAGGGACCCCAGTCATAAACTACATAGCATGACCTAGTGTGAAAGCACAAGGATGGTCCCTCCCTTGAAAACGTGCTGTTGAAGAGCAGGAGAGGAGAGAGGGGTTGAAACATCCTGACATCATAACCTGAGCTGCCAGAGCCGTCAATGTGCATCCCTTGTGCTGCCACGTTCATGATGGTGGCCTGTAGATGTGGCCACAGAGCTCTCGGGAGGAGTCATCCTGATGTGAGCAGCCTGCCCTCTGCTTCTCCCTGTCCCTGCAGAACCTGGCTGTTCCTTTCACATCACTGTGAGATTTGCCATGTTCCAAAACATACACTCCCCGAGCCACGAGATGGGCACACATCTAGAATCATAGAATCATAGAATTGTCCAGGCTGGGCGGGACCTCCAAAGGTCATCTAGTCCCACGTCCCCACAGTCAGCAGGGACACCCCCAACTAGACCAGGGTGCCCAGGGCCTCGTCGAGCCTCTCCTTGAATATCTCTAGGGATGGGGCCTCAACCGCCTCCCTGGGCAACCTGTTCGAGCGCTCCACCACCCTCACAGTAAAGAACCCTCTCCTAATCTCCAATCTAAATCTGTTCCCCTCCAGCTTAAAGCCATTGCCCCTCGTCCTGTCACTACAGGCCTTTGTAAGGCTCTCCCCAGCCTTACTGTAGGCTCCCTTCAGGTACTGGAAGGCTGCTATTAGGTCTCCCCAGAGCAGAGTAAAGTGGAAGAATTACCTCTCCGGACCTGCTGGTAACGCATTTTTTGATGCAGCCCAGGATGCGATTGGCCTTCTGGGCTGCAAGTGCCCACTGCCTGCTCATGTCCAGCTTCTCATCCACCAGCACCCCCAAGTCCCTTTCCTCAGGGCTGCTTTTTAATACCTCACCCCCTAGTCTGTACTGATGGTGAGGATTGTTCCGGCACTTGCTCTTGTTGACCCTCATGAGGTTCACCTGGGCCCACCTCTCCAGCCTGTCCAGGTCCGTCTGGATGACATCCCATCCCTCTGGTGTATCGACAACACCACACGTGGTGTCGTCTGCAAACTTAATCCCTCTGTCATATCATTGATAAAAACGTTAAACAGTATCGGTCCCAGCACGGACCCTTGAGGAAGACCACTTGTCACTGCTCTCCATCTGGCCCCATACGGGCTCTGGCCCGCAGATGAAGGCTGATGGCAGATCCTGGTCTGCTACTGGATATCCTCCCCTTGGGGAGGACAACTACGGCCATCATGACAGGGCGGGCAAGTTTTCCTGGAGTATGTGTCCGCATTCCTGCTGCACGGCCAGAGGAATACCTGCAACATGATGGACAGGCCAGCAGCTTGGACCCATGTCAGATCTGCTTCAGCTGGGAAGCTTGGAAACCATCTTTAACTCAAACAGCAATAGCTGCTGGCTTCACTGCCTGGGTCCTGGGTTGAGAGACACAGGATTAACTTTTCTTCTAATGCTGGGGAAAAATGCACTTTTGGAAGACTCTAGTGTCTTAAATCATGAAAATATTTACTTTATAGCCAGCAAGGCTATGTGGGATTCAAGGTCTTTGTGTTTTCGAACCTTGCCAGGTGCAGGGAGGAGGAATAAATTGCTATGGGTTTTCTCAAATCATAACAGTGTGTTACAAAGTCAGCGTAAAAGATGCCTTTGTAAAGTCTGTTTCTTGCTTGCCCTGTCTTCTCCTCCCCTGCCCCCGCCTAGGAAACTCTTGTATTGCAAAGCGTTCAAGAGGAAAGCAAGTTCTGCGGTGGACGGGGTTGTAGCCATCGCCTTTTAGAAGCGCAGGCGGCTGGTTTCGCTCAATTTTTGTCATATACACAATATTAAAAAGGCAGCACAAGAAAAAACAAAAAAATCCAAACAACCCAGCAACAGTCCCACTTTAAATAAGCAAAAAAATAAAAGCTAGAACAACTGACCACACATGATACTTCGGGATTTAGCTGTTAAATTTACAAATCCTGCAGGTATAATCTTGTCTCTAAAGCACTGGGGACCCAAATAAGGTATTGAAAGTGCATCAGCTTCCTGTTTCCCTCTGTTCAGAGCATTAGAACATGAAATGTTTTGAAAAAACTGTTCTTTTTTCCTTCAACTTCTGCTTTGCTGGAAAACAGCAATAGTTGATTTAACAGTAAACATTATAGATGCAAATTTACTAATTTTTAATGTGTTCGGAAGGACAAACATACAAAAAACTACATTTATTGTTTTTGTAAATGGTTTGTTTAACTTAGATAAATGCAACTAGAACTAGGGGAAAACTGTGGTCTTGCAGGGCAATGGCATAGTCTTCACCGCCAACAGACCCAAATCCTCTGCCCGCCTGAATGATACGATGGAAGCTTCAGCTCCCAAATCAATTTCCAGTAAATCCACCCATGAAAACAGCTCATTTGGGTCTCACAGGAAATCACAATTTCATAATTTAACTCATGTCAGCAGTAACAAATGATTTTATGTTTCTACGTCAATGAAATAGCCTGACAAGAAACTGGGAACCCAGGTTTGGAACCTGTGTATCAATTCTCACCCAGTCATCTTTTTATTAATATTTCTCCTTTATTAAACAGACCAGACTGATGTTTTACACATGTTCAAAAAAGGCTGTGGTTTAAGCATACCTGCCTGCTGCTATTTTTAGCTACCAAAAACAACATCAGCAGTTCAGCCAGCAAATCTGATGATATACTCCATGTACCAACTGGACTGACAGAAAAGGAAAACAAATGTTTTATTTTCCATGGTCATTCTCACATGCCGATGTTACGCACGCTTTATTTCAAGACTCACACCCTTCCAAGCTCCATTTTTCACTACTGCCTCACATTTCCCTTTAGAGAGGGTGATGCATTCTGTAAAACCACCTTTGCACCAAGAAATCAGCACAGCCATTTCTGCTGAATAATTTCTTTTAATAAACCTTGTCGTTCCCTTGGTACTTGGTAACTATTTTGCCATTGATTTGCTTGGTAAGAAAAAGATGGTATTTGTACTATTGTGTTTTAATTGAGGGAAGGATTAACCAAAACAACAATGCAAACCAGGGATGCTAGGGATTTCTGTATTAAATACAGACAGACAATTCTCTGTGTCTCTGTGTCAGTTTGCTGGTCTGTTTACTGTAGTGGATAAAATTTCAGCTATAACTCAGGCTTGCCTCTCTCCCAAATATATTTTGTTTTCCCAAATACTGTGTGTAAGAACCTGGGGCACACTCTTCCAAATACTTTCTAAGTACACAAACTGTAACATCTCAGAGAACGTTAGGGGAAAACCCCACAACGCAGACAGCTGTAGTTTTATACACATCCCAGAAAAAACATACAGCCTAACAATAACCGTATGGATTTCTACCTAATTAGGACGTATTTTTTCTTAAACAGGATGTGCTTAAGAGGTGATTAAATGATTTTCACACAGGGCTGTTGGACCTGGTGACTATTGGAAATCAGTATTTTTGATGGCCTTTCCTAACACTGGTTCAACCAGACCAAATGAGTTCCATGACCCCTTCAGAATGCTATGTAAGTTCTATCGACAATTTAAGAGAATAAATATATGGTGGAAGTTTCTCTGTGAATTCTGCACCTGGAACCAGGCCCTAGGAAGTCAGCATCACCAGTCATAACGCGGTGTTATACAGTAGAAGCACCTCTCGTTATCCTTGAACACCAACACTACGGTACCACAGCATCATCCATACTGACCTTACTCATTCTTCTGCGTGCCTCTGATGCCCACTGTCCCCCCACTGCCTGCCGTGGTGCCCCTCCTGCCATTTCCAGTTCCCAAAGGGTGGGCAGCAACTCTATCCATCAGCAGAACACGGGAGGTGCTGCTGATAGTTTTGGAAACTTATCTTTTTTTCCTTTTCTTTGTGCTACAGAAACACCTTTCTGTACTATCGGTATCCACCAGGGGTGCCAAAACAAAATAAATGAGGGGAGGGTTAACAGGATTCAAACATTGTAAATAATTTTTATCGGGGACTAGCAAAACTTCTGATAAAAGAGAAAAGTAAATACTGATTTCCAAGCCATCTGTTTACGGTCCACTTAAGGTACTGGGAAACATGCTTTTTTCCTCCTGTTAAGAGAATGGACAGAAACGCCCATGGCAACTTCTGCTTTGCAGAGCAGCCCTGCTCTCAGTGCTTAGAACACAGCTCAGATCGCCCCCGTATCCAAGCTCGCTCATTTATGGCTAAAGCTCAGATGTCATCGAACTACTCAGCACTACATCACTTTCCCTGATATGCAGGATGAATTGCAATGAAGGTCTCTTTTTCCTTAAAAAAAAAATTTATTTCCACATTTTCATAAAACATCTTTTGTTGACATTCTGCAAACAATACTGTCCAATAAGGTGCCAATTTTTTCTTCCTGTGGAGTAATTTTGTACAGCTGTAGAGAAAAAGAACAAGAAAAACATAAAAGCTGTATAAGAAGGGGAAAAAACCCATCACTTATCTTCTAAAAATATATACACAACAAGAAAAGATTTCCCCCTCTCCCTCACATTAGAAATTCCTATCTTGTCTTGCCTGGAAGACAGAATCGTGACTGAGGAACCAAGCAAATTCTGAAACTCCAAGAGACAAAGGAAAAGCTAAGAGACTGAATGAGAACAGCACATTTATCTCCACGTTATATACTATTATTTGTCTGATTTTATTCATATGTCTCCTATCATTACTTTGATGGACATGATCGACATGATTTAAGCTACTTGAGTCTTCTCAAGTGGAACACATATGCTTCAAGATACCTATCTAGCATATGGTAATCTGTTAAAAGTATGCATGCCCTAACAGCTCCTGGCAGCTAATCATCACATTTTTATTTCAGCCGCCCATGCTGGGACTATTTATGTGCTTAAGATTACAAAACTGTTCAGAACTGAAAATTTATTTTTAATTAAATGGATATTTGCCTGAGAAAACAGGAAGGGAAAGTGACTGAGTGGTAGGCAGCAAAATGGAATTTATTTTTATGTTCCAACTTCCTGACAATGTTAAGAATTTGATGACTTAAAATTTGTGATGTCAGGGTGTGAGAACTAGAATTTTTTTTTTTTCCAGAGTAAGAAGATTGTAAGAAAGAAATAATCAAGCTTCACTTAAAACAAGTTTCCAGTTATGCTAAAGAAACACAAATCCCAAGTTAATTATGTCCACTGATATTTAATCCGACAACTAAATAAACTACCCTTTTTCTCTATGCCAGTTTTAGTTACTTACCTTTTTAACTTTGGCAGTGTCTGTGAGTTGGGGGAGTTCATCTAGAGAAACCTGTTGGCCTTCTACCTGAGATGCTATGTCTTCCACATTTATAGTTTTTCCGCTGTCCGCAACCAGAACAATGAGTACTGCTGTGTCACTGTCTGAAATGCCAAACTTTTTAAATGCATCTGAAATCTAAGAAAAGATGAAAAATATCCCGAGTGTATAAACTGACACACATTTTACATTAATGGAATTCTGATGAGCTACAAGAGATAGCAGCCTATTAGTGTTATTAAAAATAACAGTAATTTCTATTAGTAGCCAGGTAAACAGTTACGTGAATATCTATATTTACCTTGGCTACGGAACTTAGCAAGCTTCCCTGGCAAAAAAAAAAAAAGACTTTTGTTCAGTAAATCTTACATTGTTGTTTGGTGAAAGGCTGAAAATAATTTCTGAATAGAGAGTTCTGGTCTTCATTTTACCAATCTTTTGTAGATGAACTGCTTTGTTTGCTGCCACAAGAATTTGAAAAGGATCTACAATCTGTAAAACACAACAAAAGAAGTTAAACAAAATTTAACATGGTATCTTGAACCCTGAAAAAAAATCTCACTACTTAATTTTACTTAAGTCTGCAACCATAAAAGTGAGCAATACAGTATTCTGCAAGTTATTTTGGCCATTCTTGCTCTACCAAAGTTAATGTGATTATTTACTGTGTGGGATATTACTTGACATAAAGATTACTCTATATTTCAGGTTACTACAATCTTTTGAAAAAAGAAGCACATTAATAAACCCTCTGTCAGTAAACTGCCAGATTAGATTATTTTTTTCCCTACTGCTTTGCCAATTCTAACCAAAAAAAAAAAAAAAAAAAGAAGACTGGATTCAGAAACCAGTTATAGGTTTAAATGAGAATCACAGAATCTTTTAGGTTGGAAGGGACCTTAAAGATCATCTTGTCCAACCGCCAACCTAAGAACTAAGGCTCTAAGCAGCGGTAATTTTTGACAGAGTATTGAACAGTTAGTACTACATTTTATGGAATCACGGATCACAGAATTGTCGGAGTTGGAAGAGACCTCTAGAGATCATCTAGTCCAACTCCCCTGCCAAAGCAGGATTGCCCAGAGCACATCACTCAGGACTGCATCCAGGTGGGTCTTGAAGATCTCCAGAGAAGGGGACTCCACGACCTCCCTGGGCAGCCTGTTCCAGGGCTCTGTCACCCTCACCGTAAATAAGATTTTCTTTGTATTTGAATGGAACTTCCCATGTTCCAGCTTGTGCCCGTTGCCCCTCATCCTGTCACTGGGAACCACTGAAAAGAGTCTGGCTCCATCCTCCTTCAACCCACCCTTTAGATACTTGTAAACATAGATAAGGTCTCCCCTCAGCCTTCTCTTCTCCAGGCTAAAGAGCCCCAGCTCTTTGAGCCTTTCCTCGTAAGGGAGATGCTCCAATCCCTTAATCATCTTAGCTGCCCTACGTTGGACTCTCTCCAGTAGTTCCCTGTCCCTCTTGACCTGGAGAGCCCAGAACTGGACACAGTATTCCAGTTGTGGCCTCACCAGTGCAGAGGGGAAGAATGACCTCCCTCAACCTGCTGGCCACACTCAGATGGAAATAGATTTAAACAGCTCCACCAAGCAGGGCGTGAAGTACATCAAAATGACAACTGTTTTGGCCAATCCTGCCAGGGCTCTTCTCCACAGAGGATCCCTTACACTTGTAGGCCACCGTAATTAAATCAAAGGAGGGGCATTAGCGCGGAGAAAGCGAAGCAGGCGTGCAGCAGCTCGTGGGCCAGGGACTACAAACACCGGCTGTTTCCCACACAGTTCCACACAGGGAAGGGTCTCCACGCAGCCTCCAGCACGCTCAGGCCCCGCCAACAGGACGCCGCACGCCTTCCCTCACCATGGCCGGGTTGATGAAGGCCCCTTCGATGGCCCCTTCCATGGCCTTTTTCCTCAGGGCGGCGGCGTTTTTGACGCGGTCGAAGAGGAGGAGGGTGACGCCACAGCCGGGGAACAGCTCCAGCTGGTGCCTCAGGGCCATCCCGCCTCCGCCACGGAACGGTCACGCACCCCCGCTCCTATAAAACACCATTTTAACAACACGCGACCGCTCCGCTGCGGATTTCAAGGCTTCACAGAGCGGAACCCCCAGGCGTGCGGGCTCCACGGGGAGCCCCGCCGCTCTCCTCACCCCTTCCCGCCCGCCAGTGGCCGCGCTCCCTCCCTCTCTCCCTTCCCGGCCCGGCCGCCGCCACGGTCCCCAAGCCCTCACCGTTTCCCGGTGATGGCCTCCGCCTCCGCCGCCAGGCCCCTCCTCCCGGCTCCCACTCCTCCCCGGAAGGGCGGCCCCTTCCCGGCCAGCGCGGCGGCGGCGGCAGCATGGAGCGGGGGGAGGCCTACGGCTTCTCCGCCGCCATGAGCGGTGCCTTCCTGCTGTCGTGCCTGCTCTTCGCGGCCATCAACCGCCACCAGCGCGGGCCCTACATGGACGAGGTCTTCCACGTCCCCCAGGCGCAGGCCTACTGCCACGGCCGCTTCCTGCAGGTGCGGGGCGGGAGCCCTCCCGGCTGGTGTTCCCCGGTCAGGATGGATGGTTTCTGTCAACGTACTGCTTGGAAAAGGGGACCTTATAACGGCCTTCCAGTACCTGAGGGGGCCTGCAGGGGAGATGGGGGGGAGGCTCCTTGTCAGCGAGTGTAGCGGTAGGATGAGGGGTAACGGTTTTAAATTGGAAGAGGGGAGATTTAGATTAGATATCAGGAAGAAATTCTTTCCTGTGAGGGTGGTGAGGCACTGGAACGGTTTGCCCAGAGAAGCTGTGGGTGCCCCATCCCTGGAGGTGTTTAAGGCCAGGCTGGAAGGGGCTTTGAGCAACCTGGTCTGGTGGGAGGTGTCCCTGCCCATGGCAGGGGGGTGGAACTCTATGATCTTTAAGGTCCCTTCCAGTCCAAACCATTCTACAGTTTGTGGGCGTTGTTGTCTGAAACGCTGGTGTCTGCTTTCTGTTGTGCAGTGCTGCGCCGGGCAGGCTACAAAGCGCTCAAAAATTTCAGTCTCTTAATGCCAGCAATTCACTAAACATCCCAGCTAAACAAAACGGGCTGTGGGTGGGGATGGTATATCATAACCCATTGCACGTCCCTGGTCTCTTTCTGTGTGGAAGCAGCCCCGTAACCCTGTTTCTCTCTCCTCTTCCCAGTGGGACCCCATGATCACCACGCTGCCGGGGCTGTACCTGGCCTCGGTGGGCGTAGTGAAGCCGGCGGCCTGGCTCTTCGGCTGGACGGGAAGCGTGGTGTGCTCTGCGGCCATGCTCCGCTTCATTAACCTCCTGTTCAGTGCCGGGAACTTCTATCTACTGTATTTACTGCTGTTCAAGATCCATCAGAAGAATAAGGTACAGTGAAAGTAGAATAATGTTATGTGCTCGTACAAGCAGTTTTGGTGGCTCTGTGTACGTTTGCTTTGCTACATATGTGAGCTGTCCTTGGTTTTATATAACCACAGATACTACTACCAGTTTACCTAAGGAGGCACATTCCTTTTCTCTAAATTTTTATAGTATCTTTTTTCTCTCTTGGGGTGCAATCCCCTGTAAATTTACTCTTGTGCATAAGTAGTCCTACTGAAATAAAGTTAGTACTCATATAGACTCATGCTCATCTAGTTGGAATTTCTTGAGACTCTCCAAAAAACTTCAACTAGTGAATTCTGAATGAAGCTCTGTGAGCTGCATTTAAACTGTGTTCTTTAGAAAGAGACCAGGTTTAATGTCCAATATTTAGAATCAGGGAATAATTCAGGTTGGAAATAACTGGAAAATGATTCAGGTTGAAAGGGACCTTAGAAGGTCCACCCTCCAGCTTGAAGCAGGCCAGCCCTGAGATCTGACCATGGTTCTCAGGGTTGGAGCTGGAAGACGTTCCAAGGATGGAGAGTGACTGAACTGCTCATTTCAGTTGGATTGTTGTCTGTTGTCCTCCCACCATGTACCACTTCAGGGAGCCTGGGTCCTTTTACCTGTTGACATCCTCACAGGTATTGGTGGCTGCTGTTCAGTTCCCAAAGCCATCTATTTTCCAGGCTGAACAAGGCCAGCTCCCTCAGCTTCTACTCTCAGGGCAGGTGCTTCAGCCCTCAACTGTCTTGGTGGCCCTCTGCCATTGCTCCAATTTACTGCTGCCTTTTTTGTATCGCAGGACACAAAATTGGACATGGTATTTCTAGGTGCAGCCTAACAATTAGAGTAAAGGGAGATAATAATTTCCCTTAATCTGTTGCTAATGGTGTTGCTAATTCAGATTTGATGAGAGTGTACTCTTGCTGCCTTCAAACCATTGATAAAGATGTTAAACAGGACAGGTCCCAGTATAGATCCCTGTGATACTCTGGTTATTATGCCCAACTTTGGGTGGAGTGTGACCAGTTAACCATCCAGCCAGTTCTTACCTGCCTAGCTGTCCACTCATCCACAGCATAACAGTTCAACTTGGATACAAGAATACTGTGTGTTTTAAGTGGTAGAACATGCACCACTGCAGTAGGTAAATTGTTCCAGTGGCTAACGGCCTATTAAAAATCTTTCACCTTAGTGAAGTTCTTTAGTTTCAAATTTAACCATAAGAACATGTTTTTTTTTCCTGTTCCCTGATAACTGAAGGATACCTGTACTATAAAGAAAATTTATTCTGATGTATTTTCTTACAGGAGACTCTTTAGGTTTAAGCACATGATCAGACTATACAGAATTGGATCAAATTCAAAAAAGTGTTTCCACTTTCAGGACACTTCTAATTTTATGCTTGGAGGTGGAAATAAAAATGTAAGAAAACAAAAGGTTCTGAGACAGTAGTCTAAGCGTTAGAAAGTGTAGTTGTATTGTTGGCATTTCTTTGAATTCAGCATTTTTTCTATTCCTCTGTTCTGTAAGGTGGTGACTGGCTGTTTCACCCCACGCTACATCATTCAGAAACATCATGCAGCTTTTTTAAATGTTGTGAATTGCATTGCATCATGTAGTGTGTGGGATAATTGGGAGGAGTTTCTAACTGCATGGTCTCCCACCTTCTTTAAAGTTTCTTTTCTAACTCATGAATTATAAGGAAGATAAACAATGAAAGCTGCAACAAAGGTTGGAAACTTGGAACTGGCCACTATGTGGACTGATTTCAAAAGAAGCAATAGTGTAAGCACAGAATGATGTGTTCTGCTGTTTCACAAATAAACAGAATCTGATGATGAGATTGCAGGGGCATAAAACTTTGATTATTTTTTTTCTTCTTTTCTTTTTGCCCATTAGAGTAACTCTTTTATCCTAGCTACGGGAGCAGTTATACTCCCACAATGATGTTAGTGCCACAAGTATGTGAACACCTGACATATGAAAGCAGTTGGTATATTTTCATTGCCATATTTTTAACTCACCTGCAATAATGTTCCGTACTTTCATTTGTCTTTTAACATTGTATAGTCTGACACTCTGTATTAACATAGTCAGAAGTTAACAAAAATATAGCATGCGTGCTTGTGCAGTAATAGAACCAAAGAGCATAAGAGATGTTATATTGTGTTAATGGAATTTTCAAGAATGATAGTCTGTATTTGGTTTCTGTTTGTTTGTTTTTTATTTTTGTTAGAGGTTGCTAACCACATTTTTCTGCTTCTTCTCTAGGCTGTGTCTGGTTTTCAGAGAATCTTGTCTACATTAACTCTTGCAGTGTTTCCCACCCTGTATTTTTTTACATTCCTCTATTATACCGACCCAGGATCAGTGTTTTTTACTCTCTTTGCCTATTTAATGTGCCTTTATGGTAACCATAAAACTTCAGCTCTGCTTGGATTTTGTGGCTTCATGTTTCGTCAGACGAATATTGTATGGACAGTTTTCTGTGCTGGAAATGTCATTGCAGAGAAGTTAAATGAAGCCTGGAAGACAGAGTTACAGAAAAAGAGAGATGAAAAGATTTCGTCCAGGAAAGGATCGTTTTCAGATTTGATCAGGATATTGTGGTTTCTAATTGAATATCTCCTATCGCTTAAAAACTTGGTTACACTTGCTGCTTTAACTTGGCCATACATTGTTTTAGTAACGGTGTTCTTTGTTTTTGTCTTCATCAATGGTGGGATAGTTGTTGGTGACAGAAGTAGCCACGAAGCCTGTTTGCACTTTCCTCAGCTGTTCTATTTTCTGTCCTTTACTGTCTTTTTTTCATTCCCTCACTTACTGACTCCTACTAAAATCAGGAAGTTCTTTCTGTCGTTACGAAAGCACCCTGTGCAGTACAGCTTAATAGCTGTCATCTCTTTATTCCTGATCTGGAAATTTACCTTTGTTCATAAGTATTTACTAGCAGATAACAGGCATTATACATTCTATGTCTGGAGAAAGATCTTCCAAAGACATGAGCTTGTAAAATATGTATTAGTTCCAGTCTATATGTTTGCTGGCTGGAGTTTTGCTGATACACTAAAATCAAAATCAATATTCTGGATCTTAATGTATTTTGTATGCTTATTAGCAGTCACAGTTCCTCAAAAATTGCTAGAATTTCGTTACTTCATTTTGCCATTCTTAATATATAGGCTCAATATTCCATTTCCATCTCTATACAGACAACTTCTGGAGTTGGCTTTTTATATTGTTGTCAATGCTGTAACTTTTTATCTTTTTCTAAACAAAACATTCCAATGGCCAAATAGTGATGAAATCCAGAGGTTTATGTGGTGACTTTTTTTTTTTTTTTTTTTTTTTTTTTTATACTTCCATACCCTTAGGAAAACCCAGTTCTGTGTCAGGACTGTGGACTCTGGAACAAAGCAACAAGTTTTGCATTATGTGAGGACTTTTTTCCCCAGTTGGAATTGGGGAAGTCAGCTGTTTGCTTCTTGCAACTGAATGTCAGGTCTGGTATGTTGTAATGTGAAGATGTTCCATATATTGAATTTATGAGCTCCTGGAATTAACAAATTCAAGATGAGAGGCAATTTGAAAACACCTTTCTGTAATTAATGTGAAATAAGGGAAATGTTTACAGTCATTTTTCATTATAATAAAATATTATGTGACATGCCCTTGAAGGTATGACAGTTTCTAAATATGTTTCAGAGGTTTCTCTTTAAAACAAAGTATTTTGTCTTTCTGTTTGCTCTGGGTGCATATTTACTCCTTGGATCAGGCCACTTCCATCTAGGTTTGCTGGCGGTCAAGGTACAAACTGCTACTGAAGTATAATGTGTTCAAAACCTCCTACGTCCCACTGAATTTTCATGATTTTTTGTCAAGGAGTGCTTACATTAGTTTTGCAAACAGAATGTAGGCTTTTAAATCACTAGAGCATTTTGAAAATTTTGTTTCAAACTGATACTTAGAAAATGCAGTGGAGGCCATGTGCATGTACCTTCTTTGGGGAATAAATGTTATTGCACAACAAAAGATAAATTGCAGTTGATAACGTGACCTATTAGCAGGGGAGTAATTTATGTATATCAGACTGAAATGTGTCGTTACACAGTGGAATGCAGTCTAATGAATACCCTTTTAAATAATCAGGCTTTTATGTCCTGAGGTTCTGTGTTTGCAGGTTTGTATTGAAGTAGGATATGAGTGCACTCCCAAGTTGAACTGAATGTTTCTAAGATCTTTGGTGTGTAATCTTAAAGAAATACTAATGGCATTACTGAATTGTTCTTTTAAGGGTTTTTCATATATGTACAAGTTTAATGGAACTAGAGAGTATATATTTTGCTTTACAAAGGTAAAATACAATGTGTATATATTTATTTATTTATTTAAAGGATCTAGTGCATTATCATCAGAATAAAAGAAGGCTGTAATTATTCCTGTCAGTAAATGACTTTAACAAGACTCAAAAATATTTGATCGCTTAAAGTTAACTGTTAAGCAGTTTTATAAATGTAACTAAATTATGTGGCGGGGGGACCCAAAACTTCACATACGGTATAGCATCTTTAATTTCTTTCTTGTTCTGTAATGAATATACTGCAGCCAAATCTGTGCAAACATATATTATTGCCACCCCAGTCACTCTGAAATGGAATTGTTTCTCAGAAGGTCAGTACTGTGGAGTTATTTACTCACATTGGTAGGGTTATTTTTTTTCTTTTACAGTATGCAGATCAATGTCCTGGCTCTTACCTCTTCCCTCTGCTAACACTGTGAAGAGTGTGGTTAACTCAGATTCTCTTGTCTAATGTCTTTGCGACCTTCTTTCTTCTAAGGAAGGCTTAAAGCCACTCTTCAATGAGTAGGTTTATTTGTATTGAATTTTGGTCCTTTGCCGGGTGCCTGTTTGCTTCTTGGCCTGTTGCCGGCATGGTAGTTTGTTGATAATGTGTATACCTTAGGGAAAGCTATTTTTGGTCACTCCTTATTTGCTTTATCAAGTTGAAGGGACAAGAGAAACCAGAAATGGGTTGCTTTTCAAGAATCCAGTGTGGTTCTTGAAGAGTCTGGGATGATGTCTTGTGTTGTGGTTTCAGCATGACAGATTTGGGGTGGGGGGGGGGGGGGCTTGTATGCCGGGTGCCTGTTTGCTTCTTGGCCTGTTGCCGGCATGGTAGTTTGTTGATAATGTGTATACCTTAGGGAAAGCTATTTTTGGTCACTCCTTATTTGCTTTATCAAGTTGAAGGGACAAGAGAAACCAGAAATGGGTTGCTTTTCAAGAATCCAGTGTGGTTCTTGAAGAGTCTGGGATGATGTCTTGTGTTGTGGTTTCAGCATGACAGATTTGGGGTGGGGGGGGGGGGGTCTTGTATGCCTTCTGCTTCCAATTTTGTTTTTGTATACCATGCCAGCAAAAACATAAACAAGGTAAAGATTGTATGCATGTTTCAGTGCAACTTCATTTGTGTCCTGAAATAGTAGTACTGATTGAGTTGAAATGGTGATATGGGAAGGGATGGGGCTCTGGCTAGAACTCTGAATTGACTTCTAGACCTGTTCTTTCTTTCTGGCTTTATGGGGAGGAGCAGGTGTTCATTCGCTTGACAAGATCAAAAATTCCTGTGCTTTATATATTCTACAGGTGTTTTGTTTTGTCCAGCATGTCTGCTGATACTGGTATCTGGATGCCTTTGATTATCAACACTGTTAAGAGAGTGTTTATGCTTCCTGCGTAGCAGAGATAGCAGCTGTGATTCAAGTGAAAAGAACCGAGTTTAAATATATACAATTTTAATGCATTTCTTTTGTAAAGAAAACTGAATGCAAAAAGTCCACCCAAAATTTAGAGGAAAATACCTTTCTAATGAGCTCCACACTATAAAAATTGTAGATAGAGAGATATGTTTGAGTTCTTGGGGTTTTTCTTAACCAATATTCTAAAATGGCATAATATTTTATCATGTTATTTATCAGTATACTGTCTATTTTAATTTTAGAGTACAATTATTCTCAATGTATTTTGCTAATTTCAAAGGAAGCTGAGTTCATATACGTTTAAATTAGAGAGAAAAGTCCATGAATTGCTAAAACATGAAAGGAGAATTTATTTTTAGACTAAAGCTATGTTTTCACTTTTGCTGATGAACCACAGACAGTTTGCAGGTAATATTCAATGTTAGCCTGATTCAGTCTCAGAAATCAAGAACATTGTAATTACATCATAATTAGTCATAAAGAAGGGTCTCCAAATCCTATAAACATCTCTTAGAAATGTAACAAATATCAGTAGCAGTAACATTGTTTAAATCTAGATACAAGAAATGGTTAAACGTACTTTGTAATCTTGGAGGAAGTATCTTTTGGAAAATTGGTTTTTACTATTTTAGTATTTAGTATTTCTATTGTGTTTGTAATTTATTAGCTATTTGTCTTAAAGAAATGCAGAAAGGACTGTGTTTATCCTGGTTTATGTTGCCGAGGTCCACTTCTTTCAGTCAAATCATAATTGTTTACTTTAGGTTAATTCCTCAGCAGATGTCATTTGGCAATGAAGTTACTTACAATAGCATAAAAATGATAATTTATTGTAAATTTTACCAATCCACTATCCATTTAGGAAAAAAATCACACTAATTTGTTGAAATGTCCAAGATGAAACCAAAAATAGTGTAGCTAACATTTTTATAATCACTATTTAAAAATAAAGGGTCAGATTCAGTTTTTCTCAGACATAAATATGATGTTTTTTCAGTAACTGTCAGAATAATAAGAGAGCTGAACAGCCACAGCCTGGCTGAATTGTTTTGAGGTGGAAAAAAAAAAAGACAAATAATTGAACACATTGTTTTTTCTTTTAGTTAAAAATAGGTTGTTATTTGGGAAGATAGGAAGTTTGTTTGATAATCCTCTGTGCTGTGAACTGCATTTTCTGTTATTTGTGGGCATTCTGTATTTCATTCCTTTTAAGTTCTTTGACAACACATGTTCACATTCAAAATTAGCTTGGATTTTACACCATAAGTAATATGTGAATGCTGAGATATTATTTTTTTTTTTAGTCTTTTCTTGTGAGTAGGTAAACCAGATGGATTTCTTCTGTTAAAAATATTGTAGGAAAAAGTATTCTATACTGGGGACAGACAATTTTTGTCTGTTAATGCAGATCTAATTATTTTTTTTCACAAGGTGGCAGTCTTGTGCCATCTTGTTGAGATGATCAACAATGCAATTGCTGCTTGAAATAATAACATCAGGGGTTTTATCAAGACTGTTTCTGAGAATTAGAAAACGTCAAGTTCTCTGATGGCTGATTGCTTGTTTTAGTAACTGGTTTAGCTAAAATATCCGTGTATGTAATTTTAAACTTATATCGTATGCTAAGTTTTAGAAGAAGAGCAAGTTTTACTCCTTTTTAAAGTGTCTTATTTTGACATTTTTGGTATTTGTGGAATTTTCATGTTTGGTCTGAGAGAACAAAATGAAACTTGAAAACTTAATGTTGGAATGATGTCATTGTTTTAACAGTGTAGTTGCTTAGAAAGTTAACAGATTTCCTTCTGCTGTTTTATTATTAAATTTCACAGCATTCTTATGTTCTTTGCATATTCATTCTATTCATTGCTGTCTAGAAAGAGAAAAAATTGAGAGGACAAATGGAAAAAAGCAAAGTAATTATACCTCTGAGACTGACACATGGTGCTTTTCTGAAATAATCACTCTTTCTAGTTGGATGATGCACATGTGAAATTTAAATGTTCAAATGCCTGTTAGCCCTACAATCGTTGACATACCCCATTTTAAATGTGTAGTCTAGTTTTTGTGTAATGAAAAAGTGCAAAGCCAGAGTCCGTGAAAATGACTGCTTCCAATTATCTCAAATTCCTTGTCTGCATTCACCGTCCTAAGTTTTTTCTCCTGAAAAGCTTTGCTTTCCTTGCTTATCTCTTGTTAGATAGGATATCCTTTTTGTTTTCAATTCAATGACATTTGTACATCAGCTGAGGCATCTTTTGTAGAAAAACATCCTTCGTAAAAGTATGCTTTAGATGAATGCAGGTGATTGGTTTTACTAACAAACATCATTTTGCAAGCAAAAAGAATGTCTCCACAAGACAGAAGTGCTAACCTAGCTAGGAGTGTGTACTTAAAATGCTCTTAATTTGTAAGGGTTGTGTGCTTAATCTCAGAGTATGCTCAGGGCTTCCCACTGTTCCTTCAGCTTTAGGGATAGTCAGGAATGAGGAGCGGGAAGCGAGAGGAAAACAATTTGCACAGATAATTGCCATTGCAGTGCTGCCCTAACTAGGAGTGTGCAACGCTCCCAGGAGCAGAAATGAGTGGGGTTTTTGGGGGGTGTTTGGGGCACGTTTGGGGCACAGCTGCATTTAGCAGCGCACTGTGGCTTGCTGAAGTACGCGGTGATACGGGAGAGCTGTTTGTCAGACATGAGTGGGAACGTCTTCTCCGGCTGGAAGGAGAAGCTGTCTGTTGCTGGAGCTGGCCTGAGCACTGTGAGAATGATCTTAACTTGGGAGTTAATTGGTTTATTGAAAGATGTTTTGGTACTTGGCTGTGGATCTGTAAATAAAAACTGTTGTTCCTGTGTTGACGAAATGTTGTGAGCTTACTTGAATTGCAGCTGTGTGTCAGTAATAGGGGAGGGGTT